ACATACATAAACCAATCGTCTTCAGTGTTTTGGAAAATAACTTGATGTAGGATACACACAAATGATCTTTCACGTCACAGAAACGATATGTTTCTTAAATATAATCTTAATTGTAGATTAAACTTAATCTACAATCTATGCTATAATTCCAGTATTTAGAAGAGTGATTCACCGTTTAAACGCCGAATATTCTCAAATTTAAATGTACACAGCAGTCCTCGAAAAATACCCTTTTCTCAATAAAAATTTGCGTTTTCTCATAAGAAATTACAGAATATATAAGTAGTATATTTATTTGTGCTTCTCTATAGAAGACAATGTGTGCTGCCGGTTCTAACCTATGGTGCGGAGACGCTAACACTTACTAAGACGTCCGCAAACAAAATTCGAACAACACAGAGGGCAATGGAACGGTCCATGTTGGGATTAACCCTGAGAGACCGAATACCCAACACAGAATTGCGCCGTAGATCGGGAGTAACCGACGCAATCAAAAGAATATCAACCTTAAAATGGAACTGGGCAGGGCACGTCGCGTCGCGAGAACGAAGGACGGCAGATGGACAAAACGCATTCTTGAGTGGAGACCCAGACAAGATGCCTTTAGGAATAGATAACGACCACCAACAAGATGGACGGATGACCTGAAACGGACACATCAAAATTGGATGCAGGCGGCTCAGGACAGAAATTTGTGGGGTGAACTACGGGAGGCCTATGTTCAGCAGTGGACGAGTATGGGCTGAATGATGATGATAGAAGACTTGACGAGGAGTTGTCGTACAGTGTAGCCAATTCTTATTCACAAGTAGTAATTATGGTCATACAAAACCTGTATTCTTCCACGCAGCGATTATTACCGCCATAAAAATACCAAAAACCATGATTTTTTCAATAGTAAAAATTAAGCACAAAATTGTAATGAAATAAATTTTATTTATATGTTCCGTTTCGTTCTTCTTCTTCCTATGCCGTCCCCATTAACGGAGGTTGGCGACCACATTTTTAAAAGCTTCTCTGTCTTTTGCAACGTGGAATAATTCGTCTACAGTCATGTTTGTCCAGTCTCGAATATTTCGCAGCCATGACTTCCTCTTTCTACCTATTCCCTTTTTGCCATCGACTCTACCCTGCATGATGACCTGCAGAAGACTATATTTATTATTTCTTAGTATGTGTCCAAGGTATGCAATCTTGCGTACCTTGGAAAGTCTTGCGGCTTCCATTTCGTTACATATTCAAATTTATAAAATAAAAATCGATATTTTAAAACATTATTTTTCAATGGTTTGGCAACTGTGGAATTAGAATTCCGACATATAGGTAGCCGTAAGCTCGTTTTTGCCGAGAAAGTGACGGAAGTATGGAAAACGAACGAAAGTGAAGTAAGTAAACGATGAATCACTCTTCCAAATAGTGGAATTAGAGGTTACAACTACATATGGTATCCACAAGAAAATTAAGTTCCTGTAGCTGGCTGGATGCCATGTATCACAAAAAATTTATTTAAAATCCTTTATAAAAGGTATATAATTAATAAATTATTAATTATATATATATATATATATATATATATATATATATATATATATATCTTTTATATAGTATTTTAAATAAATTTTTTCTATATGGTATGTAAAACCTTTTGAATACAATTATTTAGATGACCTGTATCACTTATTGGAAAAAAGTATAGTTTTTAACGTAGAAGCTGCTAATAGCAGTTTTTTCTCTTTCTAATTAATTTCTCTTCCTAATTAAGTATAACAGTAATATTTTGATTTCAATGTCCAGTTTTATTACCACAGAAGAATTTAAAACTTAATGTTTTTCCACCCGATTTTGCCAACCCTGAATAGTTTTTATTATGTCAACGGTCAATTTTTAACGCGTACACCAAATCTCTGGTAATATACAGCAGATATTACCACATTTGAGCAGTACACACAGGAAAATGCTTCCACAAAAATGGACATGACTATAACAAATGCGAAATATTGTTGTAAGCACAAGTAAAAAAAATATAAATAGTAAATTAAAATAAATGGTAACAGAGTAACAAATCAATCAAACATGTCCGTGTCAAATTTTCAAAATGTTGGATTACGCCTCATAATTTGAAAATTTGAAAGAAAGGAATTGTACTAGTTGTAAAAATATTGTCCAAGTTAACATTTAGGTGTGACCCAAATGGAAAACAATTAATATTTTTAAAACGTTCTTGGTAGAAGCCCATAGATCAACGGTAAATAAAAATCAAATGGTTAGACATGGGTGTACTTAATACAAACAAAAATGTACAGTTATATATTTCTCAATACAACATTCTTGTGTCTTATTTTAATCACGAGATTATTGAATAAGTTGTCATTTCTTAAATTTCTTGTAATTTCAAACTCATTTTCTAGTGGTCCGGACAGTTTATCAGAAAAATTAGTCATTACTTATAATAAATGAAACATACACGTCACTTAAGGTTAAAGTAGGGGTTAAATGAAAGCCCTCAATTAGTGTATAAAAGCCCTAGTAAGCGGTTCTGGAGATAATTGGAAAAAACTACTAACGTCATTAACACAAAAAAGAAAGTGTAGATACATGTAACATGTATTCTCCTATGAAAAAAAATCAATTTTCAAGTCATAAAAACTCAAATTAGATGGCGCTTTTCTTTCCCTTAGATAAATTAACAGCCGAGCATTACAGAAACATCTTAGGCGCGATTCTGAAGCATTTCTGGCATTTTTATGTTATTTAATATCTTAATGGGAATTCATTTTAGTTTAAAATACGTTTATTTTGACGTTTCGATTTCCATTTCGAAAATCAAAATACAAATTAAACAACTTATTATTTTGTAATACAAAAAAATCTAATAATTTAATATTATTTGCTTCACTCATAGTGACAATTCAAACATATATTATACCGTTTAAGGCCAATATTCGTAGACATGCACTAGGACTTACAAATTGCAGTGATGATATATCAAAAACGCTTTCCTTTTGTTTTTTTTTTTGTCAGATGAAATTCTAAACATAATTGTCATGGAAACTAATCGGAAGGCTCAACCGTATTACGATAAATGGAATAGTTAAAACCCAAATAAAACTAAGTGTATCTTTGCGTTGATTCTGTAGACATTCAAGCCTATATTGGAGTATGGCTTATACTTGGAGCTTTTCATGATTCGAAAGAGGCGATCGATATGCTTTGATGTGACGATATTGCTTACTGCGGTTCTATAATACCAGCTGCTATGTCTAGAGATAGGTTCAAACAACATTTATACGTTTTGACAATTTTGAAATCAGACAAGAATGAAAATCTGAAAATATATATGAAAATAGATAAGCTGACCCCAATAAGAGATATATGTGATATTTTTATTTCTAATTGTAAGAAATCACTTAATCTCCAGGCGACCATCTGTGTGTAGATGAGCAGCTCGTGCCTTTTAGAGGTAAAGCACTATTCCGAGTTTATATGAAGAGCAAACCTGACAAGTACGGATTAAAGATATGGGCCCTTGTGGACTGCACCACTTCTTTTATTGTAAACATGCAAATTAAGTTGGGTAAGTTTTTGAATTGCCAATAATTTTAGGAAAACAAGCTCCTAAGGCGGAAGAAGTTCAAGGCCAAAGAGTTGTCCTAGACTTGATAGATCATTTGGAATACGAATTCTTATAAATTCTTCCCCCATAACTCTATGTGGAACTCTTCGAAAAAATAAAACGTTTATTCCAATAGAGCTTCTACCAGAATCATATAAAACTGATTATTCAAGTAGGTTTGCTTTTAGAAAACATCGAATGTTAGTATCTTATGTTAGAAAAACCAAGAACTGCAGTCATCTTACTTTCAAGTGAGCATGTTGACGGCAAAGTGGATGGTGAAGAACATTCCTATAAACCCGAAATTATTCTACATTACAACAAAACGAAAGGAGCCGTCGATACAACCGATAAGTTAGCTAAAGAATATACTTTACAAAGAAAAACAAATCGTTGGCCGAAGGGTATATTCTCTCATGTTATTGATGTCGCAGGTATTAATTCTTATACATTGTGGCTACTAAAATATCCTGGTTGGAAAAAGCACAATATGAGTAAGCGTAAAATGTATATTGTGGGACTGGGCAAGGAACTTATAAAGGAATATGTTATCAGACGTTATAACAATAGGCACACCGCAAAGAATAAAAAGCCTCACATTGCAGATGTATTCCCAGAACTTTTGAATATTACTGAGTCGAGAGTAGAACAAACAAAAAATACAAGGGGGCGGTGCAATGTGTGTTGTAGAGGCAAAGACAGAAAAACTAGTAAAATATGTGTAAAATGTAATAATTTTGTATGTCTTTTTTTTCGTATAAGCATAGTTCACCCATTTAAGAATGAGGTCCGTTCAGACCCCGGCCCGTCTTTTGTGTAATATTTTGAGGCCCGTCCGATGAAGATTAATATCATATAGTAAAATGAGGATCTAATATTTATACAAAAATATGGTATTGCATTATAACTTCAAGAAGTAAATCATTTTGAAATAATTTGATTATTCTATTACAAAACCCAGACCATTAAATATGAAAAAATTAATTAATTAACATTTTTACAACTGTGCATAATATATATGTCTAACCAGTTTTCATTTGCAACCAATACTGATCTATGTGTGCTTGCCAAAACCATTTTAATAAAATTAGGCGTATTGTAACTGGACTTATAAATTAAATGTAGAACACAATGAATAACAACACAGTTAAAGTCTTATATTTTCGAAGATATAAACTTTTGACACATGCGACATTTTAGTTCTTAAATTATGATAATATTTAATAACGCGACTAAGGGAGGCTAAGTATACCATTAGGAAAATTTGACACCTCCAGTCAAAATAATATTAATCATAAAAAACAAAATTGAACTAATAAATCGATACCTATCAAAAACTTCCTATCAACTCTTATATAAAAAGACCGATCCTAATCTATCATATATACTATACATGAGGTAGTCCGCTGCCGACTTCCATCATCTCGTCTGCGCAAGCATTTGCTGGTATATTAAACACTGCTTGTTGCGCAAACGGGTTATGATGGTGCGCATGTGGATGATGCGCAAGTCCGTGTGCAGCATGTGGAGGCACGTGATTGGAGTGCGCAGCGTGCGCAGAAGACATTCCTGCTACGTAGCTGCAATTCGGATCTAGGTTATTGGGATGACTATGATGAGTAGGCGTAAAACCGAAATGAGGGCGATAGGAACCTTTACGGGGAGAGCGAGCTTTAACTATCGTTGGTTTATAGATATCTTCCAAGACAGAGGGTGCTATGTAGGTAAAGCCCTAGAAAAAAAATCGATTAATTATTATTGCACAATTTTATGGTTTCGTTGAATACAGAATATACTCAACTTTAAAAACTTTTTTAAGTAAAATCAAATAGCAAATAATACATTTAATAAATAGAGAAGATTTGTCTCAAATCAAGTATTTTGAATTATTATGAAAGTCATTATAATAATTGTAACTAAATTGCCTCATTTTTTTCTATATACAGTGGAACTTGGTTATAGCGTCATTGAAGGGTCCAATAAAAAAATGACGCTATATCAGAATGACGTTAAAAATGAGGTTGCGAAAAATAAAATTTTAATGAGGGAAAATATTATTACAGCATTATTGGGTATAGTAGATATATTATTTGTTAATGACTCTGGGCCTAAACATGATAATTTAACATAGTTACGATATACCGAAAATATAACATTTACTTAAGTCAAATTTAAAAAAGTCAAATTAAAAAAAAAACAAGAATCATTTTAGGATAAAAAACAATTAAAAAACAAAATATATTATGTATGTAAGTATATGAAACTTACATTGTGTAAAAAAGTTCTATTGCTGAAAAAAGTCCGTTATTTTCTTTTGCACAACCCTTTCCGAAAAATAAAGTTTTTCTGTTGTTTCCTTAATAAGCTGAGCTGCTTCTTTGGTATTTGTGAATGCCTCCGTGAACTGGTAAAACCTGGATATGGTCTCAGCAGCTCTCATTGCTTCTTGGATTGTAAGACAAGCAACGATGTCTTCTTCTTCTTCAGCTTCATCGACATCCATTTCCACGTTTTGCACCAGTTCAACAATTTCTTTATCACTTAGGACTTGAAATGTTTCCACCTCATCGTCTACTGAAATGTAGTAGTCCAGATCAGTTCCGAACGCTTCCTAATTCAGATTCAATTTTTGTATCCACTCTGACAAAGGCATTTCGTCATCTTTATCAACGTCCTCAACATTGAGAGAAACTACAGTCAATTTTGCTTGACGAAAACACTTATGAATTGTCACTGACGTAACCGCACTCCACGCATTGTCTAAAAACTGAACAGCATCCAGGATGGCACTTTAAACTTCTTATGACTCTCTGGTCCATAGGCTGCAAGACACTCGTGCAGTTGGCTGGTAAGAACACTAGATATATATTGGTCAAATTAAGTTTGGGATGGGCTGCACAGTTGTCAACTAGGAGAAGAATTTTTCTTTTTTTTGAAAGAGAGTTCCTTGTCCCACTTTCTCAATTCTTCTTAAAAAATAGCAAAAGTCATCCATGCTTTTTTATTGGCTGTGTAGTTTACAGGTAGTGTTTTTGAAACATCTAGGATGTAAACTTTTCCCAATAACCAAAAGCTTTCTTTTCTCTGTACCTGTCATACTTGCACAAACAAAAGCCGTCACTTTTTGCTTGGAAAGTTTTCCACCGACACATTTTTGATTTTTGAAATTTAAAGTTTTGTCTGGCGTTAATTTATAAAAGACACCTGTCTCGTCACCATTAAAGATATCTTCATCTTTGTATGGTTGCCTTTATTGTGGCCATGTGTTTTGTAACCAGTCACTTGTTACGTTCTCGTCCACACATTTTGCCTCTCCAACAATTTTCGAGAAGGAAATTGAGTGCCTGGCTTTAACCGATCTAACCAGCCGTTAGAGCATGTGAAATCTTCACCAAACAATTTTCCGAACTCTGTAGCTTTCTCCTTTAAAAGTGGCCCGGACACAGGGATATCAGAACTGCGACACTGCTTGAACCATTTGAGTAGAGCTGAATCTACATCACCACGAATGCACTTCCTAATCTTTTTAACATTGTTTCCGTTCTCTTTAAAGGCTTTTAAAATTTTGTCCTTGTTTTTTATGATTGAGTCGACAGTCGAATTAACAAGTCTAAATTGCCGGCATACATCAGTAATCTTTCGACCACTTTCAAATGCTCTTATAACACGCACTTTTTCTTTAATAGGCAAAACCTTCCTTTTAGTGCTACAACTTGCCATATTAAAAAATTACCAAATTAAAATAAAAAAAAAAACAAAACGATCCGAACACAATTTCACGGTAGCGAAAATTTCTTAAACCGACTGTTCCGAAACAGAAAATTTGACTGTTAGGAGTGTTAGGACGGCACTGATAAATGCGAAATTATAGATTGTCAGGGTAACATAACTGTATACAGAAGGGATAATGGACCTTTCTTACATTCTTGGAAGGAACAAATGCCGCAAAGCCAGAAACGCATTGCACTTTATTCTTCATAAAATAAAAAAAGGATAACCTACTATAAAATTTTATGACGCTATAACCAAGGGTTAGTTCATTTTTAGCCGATAAAACCGGGTTTTTAATAACGTTATGGAATAGTTTTTGACCGGACCTATTAAAAATTGACGTTATAACCGAGATGACGTAACTACCGAGGCCGTAATAAGCGAGTTCCACCGTATTTCGTTTCATTCTTCAGGTAGCAATATTAGACCAAAAGTTGGTAAAACATATGCATTTTTTCGTCACAACTGTTTGACAGTTGAAATGTGTCAATTTCGTGTGTTGCCTGTGTCACGCAATATTGCTTATTTTTCTACCAGTCGATGGATCTGTTCAATTGTTAAATGTTTGGCTCTAAATCCAAATTGGTGTGTCGGTAGAAGCTCTTTTTCTGCAATAATTTTTATTACCCTCTTAGCTAGTTATTTTTCGAATACTGTTTAAATTTTTATACCACTTCTCATTTTACATAATTTCATATAAATACAATTATTATTTTTAAACTTAATTTACATAGAAACTAAAATCATATATATTTTATATAGTAATTAAATTTACTATCAAATGATATATATTTATAGTTCCACTAAAAAATTGATGAATCCCTAGTTGACAGTCGTTTTGTACTATCTCATAATACACATTTCAACTGCCAAACTCGTCTATACAGTTGTTTCGAATAAAAACTAGCTTAATCTGCCTATAAACCTGTTTTGATGTTAAGGTTTTAAAGTTTTTAAGTTTAGGTGGTATACATTCTTCTTCACAATAATTCGTTGATAGAATTCTATAAATTGTTCAACTAAGTAAAAAATTGCACTAAACTTCTTTTTGATAAATTCCATTTTAGCTGGTGTGAAAAACTAGACAAAAAATATAAATATAACCTACCTGGAATATCAAGTTGGCACTTTCACTAAGAGTCGATTCGTCCGGCGAATCTACTGGAGTTTGTTTTGTAAATCTGGTGTCAAACTGAGAGACATCATCATCACTAGCCTGCAAAATATTATTTGGTTTTAATTTTTTTAAATTATTTAATTTTGTGCTTAGTTTTGATATCGTTTAAAATGGATTTCAATGAAAAAAATAGTCTTTTCTCTATATTTATCATATTGTTATTGAATTTACTCTTATGCGAATTATTAAATTTATCGTTATGTGAATCTGAAACTATTTTCTTGTGACATTTTTTTGTTATCTATTATTTTTAATAGGAATTGACCAAAATTTTAATTCAAAATACGTTTATTTTGACGTTTCTATTTCCACGTCGCAAACCGTTCTCAAAATACAAATTACACCAATTGTTTTGATTTTTTACTAGATAATACAAAAAAAATCTTCTAATAATTTAATTTTATCTGTCTCTAATCTATCTCTAATCTATATCTGTAATTAAAAATGAATTTCTATGTATTAATTTAATTAAAAATATTTGCGGCCACTTTTAAACTGGCAATCAATGTGTTGAAAGTCACATCTTTATCAATTTATATATAAATAATTATTTTATTTTAATTTCTTTATTAATTCCTTTGCCTTTAGTTTCGTTTTTACTATTTTTTTTTTTCAAAAAGTAGTTGAGGCCCTCTGCCTTTCTTTCTCTTTCTTTCCCGTAGAATAAATATTCCTCTCTCTTTCTGTCCGATAGACTAAATATTCTGTTGTATGTTGATAGAAGAAATAATTTCATCGTAGGGCATACGTCCTATGTGATCTGTGCTAACTTCATTGCAGTCCCTTCCTACTTTCTGTCAATCACCTTTTCTAACGTAATGGGAATATAATTTCTTGCCAGTTTTTGAAATTTAGAAAAGAAGACAAAAATTATTATAAGGCTTCATTTTATGGTCTGCAGAATTCTCTTGGGTGAGTACTTTCTAATCTATATCTAAACTTTCTAATCTAATCTATATTCTAGAATTCTGACAGCATTTTCAACATTCATAACCTCAGTTCTTTCCAAGACACGTTTTTCAATTTTGTGGAGTAGAAATCTTAACAGAATTTGAGTAAGTTTAATAATAATTATATTTCATTTTATCCTTGCCATCTGCTATTTGTTTAATTGAAATTTTGTAAAATGGCAAGGAAGTTAAACCACCTTTGATGTGTTTCTAATGCAGGCTGTTGTGTTTTAGTTTATTAGCATTATTGGAGAATTTATTGGCTATATTACCACTTTATTAGTATTATTGGAGAACTTATTGGCTCTATAAAAGACTTTATTGGAGATTTTATGGGCAATTTCTGAATATTGTATGGAATAATAATATGGTATAACATGCTCTGAAGGACCTAACTGCAGCTGTCAGGAGGGCTTAACCATCTAATTGGAAGGCGACACAATCACCCATCGATGCCATACGTATCCCAAATTTATTTATTGTAAAGCATTGGCAGGGTTGATTATTTCGTATTTTTAATAAATATGATTAGTTAAGTAATTGTTGTATTTGCTATCAGCTTAGGGTTCATGGTTTAATTCCTAGTTTAAGACAAGACGAATTCACACTTGAGATACTGAGCTAGGCGAAGCATAGATGATAAGCTCCCATGGTTGCATGAGGTATTATTTTTATAATAGTATTTTAATTCTCTTTGGTAGTGTTATCGTTACAGTGTTTCTATAATTCTAAATGCATGTAAAAATGTGAGTTTGGTTCCTACGTTATGAATGTAGTGAACCTGCAGTGGGAAGACTATACTGTTTGACTAAGGTTAAAATAACACAGTTTGGCAGCTTGCAATCCAGCAACGGAGCCATTACTTACTGCTGCTCACAAAAGACGTAGACTTTGATGATGAGTGTAGAATATCAATTTATCGAAAATATAGTCGAAATAAGGTCCGTAGAAGAACTGGAGAACGTTATGCTGCCTGCACTCGGTCACACCGAGTTGCTATTGGTGGTGGCTCAGTAATGTTTTGGCAAGGGATTTGTGTTTGTTTGAGACGGGCACCTTAACAGTACATAAATACATAACAGAGATCCTAAAACATCAAGCGATGTCATATGCTTGGTTTATTGGCAATGGTTTTCTGCTAATGCAAGATAATGCGAGACCACACAGGGCAATTATTAAAACACAGTATCTTGAAGATGTCGGTATTGCAAAAATGGACAAGCCGGTTGAAAGTCCAGTCCTTAATCCTATTTAGCATATATGGAGTCTTCTTACAATGCGTATGAGACGCCGTATACCTATTTCAATAAAATGTGAACAGCTTCGAATGGCTCTCATTGAGAAACGGACCACTTTTCCCCAAAGGTGCTTTCAAAACGTGATCAGTTCTATGCCAATCAAATAAACGAACAAAAGCTATGAACACAATCAAAAAAAGAAAATTAGAATATTTCAAGTCTCTTATGAGAAACAAAAACTACAAAACGTCGCAACTGATAATCGAAGGCAGAATAGTCATTGTATCCTATCACTATTCCTCACACTCATTGCTAAAGTGAAGGTCACGCAATTTGTTGAGGTTCTAGGAAGGCATGACACTAACGGTACGATGATTTTGAACAATACGATGATTTTGAACAAAAGTTTTTAAAATAAACGTTTTTTAATTGTACTTACAAGACTTGGTTTAAATGGAGGTTCATATTTTCTTCTCAGGACATCATCCCAGACGATGTGTTTGAAGAATTGATGTCGTTTGACAGCATTTGCATCATCGGGAGGAGCCCCCAACCTCGAAGGAACCTGCCTCTTTAGTAATTTGCGTACTAAATCACGAGCATCGGCGGTCAAATAAGGCGGAAGGTTTAATTTTCCCTTTAGAATTTTTTCTATTGTCTTTTTTCTATTTTCAGCGGTAAACGGAGGCTAAAAATAATAGCAATAATTAAGGAACTAATACCACTTGGTTCAAAAAAGAGTCAAGAAAATAAAAAAAAGTACTTACTGCACCGGTTAACATATCGTACATCAATGCTCCCAACGACCACCAATCAACCTCTTTTCCATGGCCATGTCTAGTTAAAATTTCAGGTGCCCTAAAAAGTATATTTTAAAAATTTGCTCTTGGCATGCATCCTAATATTCCTTTAAAATATTTTGTGTAGGAGTTTTCAAATACATAAACAAACAGAATAAATATATAATTGATGAATTCGGCCGTTTCTTCTTCTTCAGCCTTAAGTAATCCAACTTTGGACATAGGCCTTCCCCAAATCAATACAGTGTCTTCTATTTTGCGCCACTTGCTTCCTGTTGTGTCCTCCGATCTTCTTAATATCATCCGTCCATCTCATTTGTGGTCTTCTTCTGCTTCTCTTTCCTAACCATGGTCTCCATTGTTGTATTTCGTGGCTCCATCTCCTTATCCTTCAGTCGGGCATTGTGTCCTGTCCAGGACAGCTTAATTTTAATTTGGCAGCATGTTCTGCTGCGTCTTTTACTTTCGTTTTGCTTCTAATCCATTTGTTTGTTTTTTTTTTTCTATAAGTCATACGCACTTCACCTTCTCGATAATAATCATTCTTTTAGTGACGAATTTAAAATTCTTCACATTCAAAATAATGGTCTTAAGCTATCTTTGTTAGAATATATGGAAATTAAGAAATTAAAACACAGATATAATTCCAAATGACCAACTTGAGACAAACAGTTCTTCCCTCCTCGCCCTATTTCATTAAAGACTATAAAGTGTAAACGCATGCCAAAAAATCACTTGTGAAAGGCAATCAGCCGAAACAGCTGTAGTGATAATACTGTATAATAAATTTTGTGGAAGTGTTGAGAATATATATATTTTTATTTAACTCCAATGAACATAGCACTCTGTGCACATGGACAATAAGCAATCATTTTGTTAAATCTAATGGCATGCAAACAGTTACTCTAATGAGTAACCTACTTAAGACTTTATTAGTCTGAATGCATTTCACTGAGTTTGAGTTGGACCTGAAGACAGGTTGGACGGCAGTTATCGTTTCAGTCTAAGCACTTCGGAAACGTCGGGCGCATTTAATTGTGTGGGCAGCACATTAGGATGAAAAAGTACTTGTTCACTGTCTCTATCTACCTAATTAGCCTTCTTCGGTCCATCTTTGGACATAGGCTTCCCCAATCATTTTCCATTCTTCTCTGTCTGTCGCTACAGTCATCCATCTAGAGCCCACGTGCTTCTTGATATCATCTGCCCATCTCACTTGGAGCCTTCCTCTGCTTCGTTTATATTCCCACGGTCTCCAACTTATAAGAATTTTGTTCCATCGGTCTTCTTTTGTCTTATATTATGTCCGGCAAATCTCCATTTCAATTTTGCAACTTCTTGTCTAACATCCCTCACTTTTGTTTTCTCTCTTATCCACTCGTTTCTCTTCTTATCCATTAGTCTTATGTGCAACATTTGTCTTTCCATTGCTCTTTGGGTTTTTATGATTTTGTCCATGTTTGCTTTTGTAGATGTCCACGTTTGGGAACCATAAGTAAGAACAGGGAGTACGCATTGATTATATACTTTGGTCTTAAGATGCTGTGGATATCTTTTATTTTTAAGAATGTAGCTTAGTTTGCCAAATTCCGCCCATGCCAGTCTAACTCGTCTCTTGATCTCTGCTGTTTGGTTCTCTTTGTTAAGTTTTATAGTTTGACCAAGATATATATAATCCTGAACTTGTTCTATTTATCTTGTCCGATTCTCATTGTGATGTCTTCATCTGTATTTGTTATAGTTTTGGTCTCGCTGTAATTCATATTAAGGCCTATCTTTCCAGCCTCTACGTCCAGTTCTTTCATCATTTCAAATAATTCTTCTTTTTTATCGGTTATCAATACGATGTCATTAGCGTACCTTAGATGGTTCAAGCGTTGTTCACTGTATTTCTCAGTAAAACGTTGTATGGCTTCTTCGGCGGATTCTAGGTGGTCTACAGCTGAATCATCTCGTTGTGGACATAATATAGCGCATTGACTATAACGCGCAGCACCTTATTTTGGAATCTCTGTAAGATGATTATATTTAAGACACTGGCGGTGCCCCGTAGCTGGATCTCATAAGTCCAAATTTAAGGATAGGCTTATATACAATTAGTGGGTAGCGAACTGGGTTTTGTAGGAGGTGCTGCTTTTTGGATTTTAGCCAAAAAAACTCAGCGGACTATCATGATGAGATGGATGGTCCTATATTTGAACAATGGTTTAAGGAAAAGCTGATTCTTAATCTTCCAGAGAAAACTATTGTGATGATGGACAACACTTCGTACCATTCGAGGAAATAAGAAGTGATTACGACACAAGCCTTCAATAAAGATCAAATTAAGATATGGTTGCTGGAGAAAGATATCTTTTTTGACGATTATTTAAAATCAGACCTCATGGAAGTCGTAAACATATACAAAGAAAAATACATAAAATATAAAATCGACGAGATGTGCAAAGAGAAAAATGTTGCCATTCTGAGACTACCTCCATACCATTGTGAGTTAAATCCAATTGAAATGGTACGGAATCAAGTCAAAAGACATATTGCTTTACACAATACAGAGTTTAAGACCGCTGCTATGGAACAAACAATAAGAAATGCATTTGGTGTAGTAACAGTGGAACACTGGAAAAACTATTGTAAACTTGCTATTAAGGAAGAGCAAAAATTTTGGGTAATTGACGGATTGATGGACGATATTGATCCTGTGGTAATAAATATGACGGTTGACAGTGACAGTGATGAAAGTGATAGCCATGATAGAGAAGATGAAGATGATTTTAATACGCAGTGATAGTGTGCAAATCGGCGGACACAAAGTGCCAAATCCGAAAAGTATGTAAATAACAGTCCGGCACAAGTGAAAATTAGGTAATAGTACGAAAAATTTCATATAACATATATGGACACTAAATAGAAAAAGAATGGAATAACCATATAATCAGAATGGAAAAGACACGTGTGATCAAAATAGCAAATAGATAAATAACTCATTAATCGGTAGAAGAAGTATAGGCAGACCGCGCAAAAGATGGAATGACAACCTTCCATAGAGGTATCAATCCGCCAATGAACAAGCAGGATTGCTTATAAAGAGGAAGAAAAATAAGAAGATAAAATATAACTTTGATACGCCGAAATTTATTGGGACACCCCGTATATTTCAAAATATAGCTTTTATCAACTTACAAACTAATAATATAAAATTGTTCAACCTGAATACAAGGAAAATAATTATTGTTATTACTTACATGAAAATAAAATTAAAGCTACACTTGTTTTTTTATCTAAAGTTGCATCTTATCTAAACCGTTAAGAAAAAATATGTAATGTTAAACAATAATAAAATTTAACTATTTTTATTAGACCTATAACAATTGCATACCTATATCTGTCAATTAAAGAAACAAGTATTTATAATGCATTATTTTGTATTCAACTATACATATCCTTTTATTAGTGAAATTAATTAACTAAAACGACACAGTGCTGAATACGGCTCTGATTAGAATGAGTCATATATTGACAATCTAATAGCAACACGTGCCTGAGTGTTTTGGCAACACTGATCTGCATAAGCGCAATGTTATTTTCTTAACTTGAAACAAAGTATAATAGTAATTCTTACTCACTCAATCAAACTAATAATTATTTTTATATTTTTTACCTGTTGTTATTTACGTATGGCGAGAAAAATAGATGTGCTTACGTACGTAATTGATTTAACACTCTGATAAAAGCATCAAGATAAAATTTCCAAAACTGCATAATAAAGACAAATTGATGATAACTGTATTATCAAAATAATAATTATAAATAATGCAACTTACATATATTCAATAGTTCCACAAAACGTGTGAGTCAATATGCCTTCGTTAACGTGTTCTTTACACAGACCGAAATCTGTCAATTTAACGTGACCGTGGGCGTCAAGTAAAATATTTTCAGGCTTTAGATCTCTATAAATAATTCCTTGTCCATGTAAATGTTCTAGGGCGAGAATGATTTCGGATAAATAAAAGCTGAAAAACAATTCGTTACTCTTTCTGCATAAAATACAGACTTTAACAAAAAAAATAAAATTGCAGCTTAAATTTCACAAAAGAAACTAACATAATAATACGTTAGAAATTTACCAAAGAAATCGTTTCACTTAATCAACCATTGATATTAATTTGCCAACTAAAACCTTATGACAACTGCTTAGTACCGTATACCATATATTGTACAAATCTAAAAGAAATGGATTATGTAAGTCAGTGGTTCCAACTGGTGGTCCCCGGGGTATGGCAGAGGGGTCCGCAAGATATATATATTATATATCTAATATATATATATATATATATATATATATATAATATATATATATATATATAACAATTTATTGTTTTGGAGTATCAGGTATGCGGTCTGTTATTAAAAAAAAACTCTTTTTTTCTTTTATGACTCTATATTTCGCTGATTTTTGTCAGCTTCTTCAGGAGATAAAGATTAAGAGTTAAAATATTTAAAAATCTTCAACATAATATATTCAAAACAGTACTCTCTTATGTATTCATCGTGAAGCCTTGGTAGCCAAAACATTGCCTGAACCTTTGCAGAAGATACTTAAGTAAGGTGACTCTCTCGAGGGAGGATATTGACAAGATTTTTTGAACTTAGAGATGAAGTTCGCGTTTTTCTTCTTGACACCAAGTACGCAGATGTTCTCACTGACTTTTTTTGGCTTTGCTTAACTGCCTACTTAGCTGACGTGTTTGAACATTTGAATGTATTAAACTTAAGTTTGCAATGATAAATGTAGACATGTTCAAAGTTGAAGATAAGATCAGTGCTATGGTAAAAAAGTGCCAGCTGTGGGTGGCAAGGATTGAAAACGAGTCGTTCACTAACTTTCCTAATTTGAAGCAGTCCTTGGAGTCTACAGAGCAGAGTTTACCTGACCCGATAAAAATCAACGCAGCCGACCACCTACGCAGCCTAGTTACGACTTTTAGGATATACTTCCCTGAACCTGACCCTAACGATGGTTGGATTCGAAATGCTTTCAGCTGTCAAGCAATTGAACAAATCCAAGGCCTCACAGAAGAACAAGATAAACTTGTGGATTTGTCGAGTTGTGGTAGGGTGAAGAACATTTTTAATGGCGAGAAAATAGCAGACTTCTGGGCAACAGCACGCAAGGATTACAAAGAACTTGGAGACAAGGTCATGAAAAAAATTCTTCCGTTTCGACATCATTCGATATTTTCAACTAGTTACCTGTCACCTGTCACCAGTTTACCATAACGGTTTCTTAACTATGTTTTCTCAAACATTTAATAATAATCCTTGTATCGGCATTTAAGTAATATTTATTTATTTAATTTCAATTTTACTATATCGTTTTTCACTTAATTTTTATTTTATCAATCTAAATTCATATTTAATAATCACACACATATAATATTGGCATAACTGCTGTATATTCTGTACCAGACAGCACCCTAATATGGGTAATTATATTTTCAGCATTTAGTTTACCGTGTACCGTTGACCTGAAGATGCATAGCAAATTATAGTATGCGAAACCGGTCGTTGGTGGTACAATAAATAGATTGTGCTTCTTATTTCCTTTTACCTATGAAATAAATAACATTATAATGTGCCTTAGAAAAATCTTAGACACGAAGTAACAATATTTGCGTGTTGTAAAAAATTTTAATCACGTCAAAAAAATAACCGAAACTATCCAGTTTTAACGTATAATGGTATTCTGTAAAACTTGTCGGTACTAATTTATTAAAAGTTAGTTTTTCTTTTTATGAAAATAAGCTGTAAATTTATTTTATTTTCTTTACCAAGCGGTATCCTCTAAAAATATTCCTTCTCTTTCTAAATGCATAAAAAGTTCGCCCCCGCTGAGGTATTCTAAAATTAAGTACAATTTTCCACCCGTTTGGAAGGCATATATCAAATCCACTATAAAAGGATGCTAAAACAAACAAAAATATCAAATATCACAAAAATAGGACATAGTTACAAAGAAAGATTTCCTTGAATGCGTAAATGTGTTTGACAATATCATAACAATATTTGTACAATGCAAACATATATTGAATATCCATTATGATAATGGATAAAAGATATTTACTTAGTTGGTTTTATTTGAACAATCAGATCAAATGTTGTATTGGAGGTTAAGTAAAAGACATCACGAACTAACACATTTTAAAAATTTGCAAACGAATAAATGACTACACTTTAGTTAATATTGAGAGTATCACCACACTCTCAAGTGGCTGTTCCTTGCGTATACCTGTACAGTTTATTACTTTTTTACAATTAATATGCATTACTGCAGATATACTAAATAATAAACTGACTATTTGAGGATAAACGTGGCGAAATTAAATATTTCTTATAATATATGGTCAGAATTTTGGCGAAATAACCTACGAATACTTCACAATAATTTGAAAAATAATATTAATCGTTATTTCAAATTACTGATGAAAAACAGGCCCTTTATCAACTAGAATCCAAAGGTGGATGGGTTTTCAAAGCAAAGGTACATGTAAGAAATTTTTAATACGTAATTTTATCCATTTACACAGAGGTTAAAAGGAAAATAAAAGAAAATTGCAACATCTCAGATACATATTGAGTGGAAAAAAGTACGCTAACTTGCAGCTCGTAAGCTAAAGTAAAATTGAGGACAGAAAGAGTGTGAAAGGATGAATATCTTTTCTAACACAGTATGGTTGCAGTTCAAAATATCTCTTTAGACCAGTTGCTTCAAAAGTTAGAGTGGTGATGCTGATTACGAAATAACGGAGACGGCAGAATATGGGGCACTTGAGACCAGCCATTCCACTCTGGCGTCACAAGCCCCGGCCATCGGCCAATGAGAAAGAAGCCCCGCCCACCGGCGTCACAAAGACCGGGACGATCTATATATTTGGAAATAAAGGGAATAAATATTTTCTTAACGTTTTAAATGAAGTATACGAAACAGGAGAAATACCAACACACTGGGTTAACATGCTGTGATGCTTCCAAAAAAGGAAATGCTATAAAGTGTTCCGACTATAATCAGGTAATCAGTCTTATAAGTCACGTTTTAAGAATCTTTCTTCGGATAATTGACTAGAATTGAAGGAGAAATTAGTGATACGCAATTTACTTTCCACAATAGTTTTGGAACAAGAGAGGCATTCAAATGTGAGGGTATTCGGGCATTAGCTGAGTTGACAAAGTGACAAATGAAGATATTACAAGCTCAAAAAACGCAACCCGAAGTAGTGAAAACCGAAAACATACGAAAATTGGGAGTCCTCCATCTTATTGTTTCGGGTAAAGTATGTGGAAAGAGGGTCACGGTCCAAGATGAATATTATGGCTTCATAATCTACGTGAGTGGTTTAATCAGTCTTCATCGTTCGCTCCAGTGCTGCAGTGAATAAAATTATGGTAGCCAATTAGATAGCCAACGTTCAGTAATGGACATGGTACAGAGAGAGAGAGAGAGAGAGAGAGAGAGAGAGAGAGAGAGAAAGAAGAACGATCCTAAGACTTTATTAAATAATGTTTTTGAATATGAATATTCATCTTCACCTTTATGTATAAAAATCATACTTTTTAGACTAGATTTACGACACCTTTTCTTTGTTTTTTTTTATTCAATAATTATAGCTGTAAATAATAAACAAAGATCCTAAACATACGAAGTTATTTATTTAGATTACTAATCTTACCTTAACTTCTTCTAAAATATTTCGTTCTGCTTTCGTATGGGCAGTATCTTTTTGATTTCTAACTATGGAAGCCTTGCGGAGAACCTTCATGGCAAAGACAGTATTGGCATCTTTCCCCGTAATTTTTCTAACTTGAAATACTTTCCCATAACCTCCTTTGCCCAGAACTTTGCGTAATTCAAAGTCTTGGGGTCCGGTTTTTTCCTGGCCCGGGTTCACATTTTGTTCAGTCAGATGAACCGTTTCGGTATCGTCGGATCTGAAAGGAAAGATGAAAATTAGCTTTTAATAATGCCTTTTTGTCACTCAATATTATATAAACTAAATTTATACGATGTAATCATTTACGTAATATCATGACGGAATAGCAAGTAAATCACATAATAATAAAATTAATTTTATGTACTGAACACAGAACTAACGTCGCAATTTTATTTAATGGGTTATATTTATTGGTAAAGATTGAAAACCGAAAGACGTAGGAGGACGTTGTAAAACCGACACACAGCGGCATACATTATTGTAGCATAAAAGACAATCATTCTGGTAGTATGGTCAAGGAGTAATTTAGAAATATGTAGAATTTTTCTTCGGTGTCAATATCTATATGAAATGACCGTAAATGAAAATTACACATGGTAGATTAAAATCAGGACTAAAAAATCAAAATAAATAAACATATGAATTATGATACTCTTGCTACATTCCTAATGCTTTTACAATTAAAAACAATATAAAATATGTATTTTTCACAAAATACATGAAGCGCTGTGGTAAAGGGAAACGATGTAACGTAAAACAAAAACAAAATATTGAAGACATGCTATTATGGATATGCTCAATAACAGGAAAAAAAGAAAGAAGCCTTCAAAAAATATGTTATGATAAGACTGCCAAAATTAGAAGTTAGCAATAAAAGAGCTCCATCGAGACCTAAAAATTGCTCTGGAAGAAATTAAACTAATAGCTTGGAATACTAATAGTCTACTAAAACATAAGTATACTCTGCAGATGTATGTATATCAACAAAAAATAGACATTGGTCTTGTCTTTGAAACTTTTTTGCAAATGAAAATTATATGAAGCTAAAGGTGTAGTCAGTAGTAGTAGTAGTATCACACAATTCATCCAGCAAATGCTGCAAGAGGTGAAAGTACAGTGATTATAAAACAAAACATTAAACACCATGCAGACACTTCAATAAATATGGAACAAATGCAGTAAACATCTATTAATATATAGAGGAACTTGCCCAAACCCAGTCCCTATTCCTAAAGAAGGCCCCTAGGTTGATATACAGTGTTGAGTGCCTTACCACCCGGCTTTTTAACGTACGAGATAGAAAACACAGTTACCTTGTGAAATAAAAAGAGATGAAACTCGTAGAGGTAGGAAATAATCGATAGAAACCTATAATTTACATTACATTACATTACCACTATCGATAGTCTCATACCTTCAGACGTTAGACGTGGCTATTTGACTTCAGTCATAATTATACGGATAACCTCGAAAATATTTTATTTTAATAATTTCTGATGTTAGAATAAATAATTGAATATTTTAAGATATATTATAGTAAAAAACATTAATTAATAGCGATTTTAAATTATAAATCTTTAAGTTTAGTTAATAATAAAAATAACTCAACTGAAATATTTGAGTAAATATACCTACCTTGATAAAATAAAGGTAGGTATGTTCCGTTCGAAAACAATTAATGTATGTGGAATTGGTGTAATAGTTAGAGACGTGGTCTATTGACAAGAAGATTGGGGTTCAATTCACACCAAGGATAAAAGTTTTGTTTTATCAACCAAAAAATAATAGAAAAAATGATACATATTAGGTAACAAGTTTTCGAAAAGCTCATTATTTACAATTTATTCTTATTCCAATGTTATAAAACGGAAATACAAAATAATTCAAATTCAATTCCAGTTTTACTGTCTTTACACTTCTAATACTAGTAACGACTGACATAAATGTTCAAAAGCAAAACGATCTCTGCATAATTTCAAATTATTAAAAAAAAAAAGAAAACACATGTGGGTTTTGAACTCTAATCGTCTGCATCCCAGTGTCGAATTCTTACCACTAATCCACGAAGGATTGATAATTATTCCGTGACAAGAGTGTATAAAACTCCTCAAATCATAGTAGAAATTATTCTTGGTTAATAATTTAAAACTTTAGATTAAATAACCACTATTAATTAAATTATTTTATTCACATTTTTGCTTTACTGTGGTCAATTAGTTTTTACTTTATGCGAAATTAAAAAATGGAAATACGTCACACATACGACGTCAAACATAATAATTATGACCGAGGTGAGACTATCGATAGTGGTATGTAATGTAAATTATAGGTTTCTATCGATTATTTCCCACCTCTACGAGTTTCATGTGTTTTTATTTCACAAGGTAACTGTGTTTTCTATCTCTTACGTTAAAAGGCCGGGTGGTGACTGGTGAGGCACTCGTCACTGTATATGTAAGGTACAGTTGCAAAGAGGAAACACTGTTCAATGTGAGGTTCCTTATGAGACCAAAGCACGGCCAACTATTTCAGTCGCTGTCGTAACTCGTTTGAGGTGTAGTCAGTAAATAAGCTAAATTTTGGTTTGGAAAGTTTTGGCGCACTTTTAGTTTGTGTTGCCGGAATTTAATATTATATTGGTAAGTACTTTAACCATTGTATTATTTTAAAGAGGACATTACAAGCTACTGATTCATGGTCTAACATTTAGCTTTAGTTTATTTTTAAAATAAATAATTTGATATTTAAATTTTAGTTAAGCGTTGCTTAATCCGGGCCCCCAAAATGTCCTAATGTGGGCCCCCTAAAAGTCAGTAATATGTATAATGTGCCAAGATCAACTTTTCAACGATCGATCAAAGAAAAATATGGAAATACCTTAGATGCGTCTCTTACAAAAGTTGGTAGGCCACCGGTGTTTAGCAAGCAGCTTGAGAATGAAATAGTTAATTATTGTTTAGTCATGAAAACATCATGCTTTGGCCTTACACGAACAGATTTACGAAGAATGGCTGTACAATTAGCTGAAAAGAATCACGTTCAGCACCCTTTCAAACATGTAATGGTTGGGCAAAAATGGGCAAGTCGTTTTTAAAACACCACAAAAAGAAGTTATCAGAACGAAAACCAATTGGCACGTCCTTTGCAAGAGCTTTAGGATTCAGTAAAGAAAATACCGATAGATTTCTTAATCTTGTAGAAACGGTTAATGACAAAGAAAAATTCACTCCTGATAGAATTTTCAATGTAGATGAAAGTGGTATATCTATCGTACAGTCAAAAGTGGCTAAAGTAATTGGTTTGCGTGAAAAAAGGCAAGTTGCTGCACTGACATCGGCTGAGCGTGGATCTCTCATTACAATAGTTGCCTGTATGAATGCACCTGGAATCTTCGTTTCCCCTTTAGTTATTTCTTCCACGCAAGAATTTAATCGATCAACTAAAAAAAGGGGCTCCACCGAGATCCATATTTGTGGCACATCTCTTAAGATGGATACAAGCAAATCTGTTTACAATGTGGTTCCAACACTATATAGCCTTTGTAAAATCTTCGTAAGAGAATCCTGTCCTTCTCATCTTAGACGAACATTTCAGTCACATCCAAAATATTGACTTAATCCATTTGGCCAGACAAAACTATGTTGCAATTGTATCACTCCCACCCCAGCCATCACACAAAATACAACCCCTTGACAGGACATTCATGGGACCTCTAATACCAATCAAAACTTTGAAAACTCCAGCACCCCCGAACTTCTGTAATTAATTTTCTGCAGATGCGAGGAAAACCGTCGCAGCAGTGTGTTTGCCAACAACTAGGCCTCAAATGCTCTGCAGTGTACCTCAATTATCCTGGTGAATCATGCAGTGACATCATGGAAAGATTAAAATTAATCGAAGAATTCGAAGATGAATTATCCAGAATGACGTCAATTCTAACTTCCGTTCTTTCGCGAACATTCACCTTCGATACTGAATTATATCCTAGACCGCAGCCTGAACCATCAAAGAAAATGAAAAAACAATGGCTGGAAAACAACTTTTTAAATATATAATTATGCTTAATATTATCTCGCCTGGAAATTATCAGTGAGCAGTTATGCCTAATACTTAAAAAAACGCGCTCTCAGACTCTAACTCATAGGTGGTCGAAAAAAAAGTCGATAATAACCTAATAATACCATAGTAATGTTAACAAAATAATAAATTATATGAATAAAACAGTATACGATAAAACAATAAGCCGAATGGTTCATTTTTATCGTATTTTTATCAGTTTTTAATAACCCGGTCAACTTCGGAGTGCTGTGAAACATAGGGAAATTCATGAAATTAAACAGATGTAGTGAAAATTATTCGTTGAAAACTCTAATATTGCTCTTATGTCTTTTTATTGTAAGATTACTAGAAAAAAAGTTATAAGGCCCAGAAGAAAATTTTTTCAAAAATTTTTAGTTATTTTTGTTTACAACTTTTAAATGTTAAATAAAATATTTTGTATTGTTCTGAAGCAATTTTCTTGTGGCATTGTAAATTAATTACTATTTATAACTGGGAATAAGCCACAATTAAAGATAAAAATACGTTTATTGACGTTTCAATTTCCAATTCGGAAATCGTTCTCAAAATACAAATAGTAAATTAAACAAATTTTGTTTTTTTGTTACATAGTGAAAAAATTCTTCTAATAATTTAATTTTATCTGACTCATTTATATTGACAATTCAGACATACATTATGCATTTTAAAGTAGACGACTTTAAAATGATATTGCCAATATTGTTGAGTTGCGCTCCTGGGACGACTTTACTTATAAGATAGTTCATTCGATTACATGAAATCAACTTTAACTTGAGAATATCCGTCAGAAAAAATCATAGCATGTAATTCGTCTTTAAAAAGACAAACACATGACATGATGACAGTAAAATTCTCCTGTTAGTGATTCCATAGTAAATTATGAGGGAAAAACAGGAAAAAAACCTCATAATACTATCCCGACATTGTAAGTATTTGTTCGTGAATTTAGTTTACCTTCAACAAACATCAAAATTCTGATTTTATATGTTACGTTATTTAAAAAACATAAATGATGTATCCTCTATATGTTACTGACTTACTAATACTGGTATTTTCTTATTAATAACTTCCTCTTTCAATATTGGTAACCAGATCCTACTACATTCTGCCGAGGAATTTGCGACACAATTGGCCTCA